AAGTGATTTCTGAATTTTCATTTTAATTGTCTCATTGTAATTGTATGCATGGATGTAACACAGTATATTTCCTGATAAATTATTATGTTATTAGTTTAAAATTTTATCATTCAGTTAAGAATGTTCAAAATAGGGCTGAGAGATGGCTCAGCAGTTAAGGGCTCTGGCTCTTCTTCCAGAGGACACAGGTTCAATTCCCATCACCCACGGGCACCTCACAATTATCTGTAACTTCAGCACCGGGAATTCAGCACCCTCACACAGACATACATGTAGGAAAATACAAATTCACATAAAATGAAAATAAACAAATCATTTTTTAAAAGTTTGTTCAAAATTCAATTCTCACTATCACTACCTTTTTTTAAAAAAATTATTTTGAGACAGGGTTTCTCTGTGTAACAGCCCTAGCTGTCCTAGAACTAGCTCTGTAAACCAGGCTGGCTTAGAACTCACAGAGATCCTCCTGCCTCTGCTTCCTGAGTGCTGGGATTAAAGGCATGTGCCACCACCACCCAGCCCTAGTCAGCATTTCTGATATGTGATAAATGGAATCCTGAAATGATGGTGCAGACCCATAACCCAGCACATCGCAGATGAGGCAGGAGGATTGTGGGTCTGCGGTCAACTTGGGTGACATAGCAAAACTTCTTTTGAGTGACAGAGAAGAGAGAGGGAAGAGGGAAGAGAGAGGGGTAGGGAGAATTGGAGAATGAAGAAGAAGAAGAAGGGAGGAGGCACACGGGGCAGTTCCAGCAGTAAAGGCCTTCATTCACGACCAGCAGCAGAACACGTGAACTTCCCGTTAAAGGAGACCAACATCGTAATGGTTGCAAATCTTCTCAGGTCACTTGAGGTCAGTTCCTACCCACACAATGGGGAGGTTATGATATTAAAGAGAAGGGAGTGAGGACGAGCTGTGTTGTAACATACCTGGAGGGTGTGCCTCTCACGGTTGAAAATGACATTTCAAGGACACACTATTGAGATCAAGTGTCAGAAAGACTCCTGCTGTGATGGACAGCTAAGATCGGCAGCACACGGGGGCACGGGGGTCTCTGGTTGGTGGGACCCTCCACGCTGACCCTGGTTTCCTCCTGTGTCAGGGTCTGGCACCCCAGCACCTGCCCAGGCTTTCCAGGCTGCCCCATTTAGAAGGGAATACTTACCCTGCAGACTCCATGTGTTCTGTATCCTTCCTCATGGACCCTAGAGCCTCCTGCATGCTCTAAGCGCCCCACATCTAAGCTTTCCTCCCTTCCTTATTCTATTGCATGATTTCTCTGTTATTATCGTCTACTTATTGTCCAAAGTGGAGAGTTTTGAAATGCCATTTCATTCAAGTTTATCATGTATGTTGGCAATATTCACTCAGTATCTTCTCCAGTTACTAGTCTGCCTTTGGCTAATAGTTCACCTCTATGTTTACACTGTGTGTGTGTGTGTGTGTGTGTGTGTGTGTGTTCTAAGTTCCACATTTGAAAGAAACAGTCAACATTTGTCTTTAAATCTGACTTATTTTGGTCAACAGGATGCCCCACAGTTCCACCCATTTTCCTGCAGAGGGCACACTTTCATTCATCTTTATGGCTGAATAAAATTCCATCGTCATGTGCACCGCACTGTCTCTATGCATCTGTTGATGTGCATGATTGCTCTTCCCATGTCTCAGTTATTGTGAATCTCACTGTGATGGCCATGAAGGCTCCAGCTCCTCTCTAACACACGCATGGAGGTTCCTTGAGGAGTACACCCTTGGGTGGGATAACTTGGTCACATTGAAGTTGTAATGGCGTCCTGACCAAGTGCACAGCTCTGTAGTTTTTTCTCTCTCATTCTTTAACACGCCTGCTGTGCAGTGTGGGTTGGCCAAGCTGAGCAAATGACTTGACTGCCTAAGCGGCAGAGGTGAGGGAAGAAGACAGTGAGCACAGGGCTCAGGACACCAGTGTGGAACAAGGGCTGGTGTAGGGGGCTGTTCCTGGATAGAGTCACTTCTGAGCGGACCTTTTTTGTTCTTTTGTTTGTTTGTTTGTTTGTTTGTTTTCTGGGTTTCTGTTTCAACTTAATTTTTTTTTTACGCAACAGAAGAAAAACCAGGCCTGACTTGAGACCAACACACCTGGTAAACAAGCTCTGGTCCTGGCTGTGCAGGGGATGGGGATTATGTCGCCTGGAGTTAATGAGGTGCGGTAGAGGCTGCAGCAGGCTTTGGTCTGGACACATGGGGACACTCGGCCCTAAATAGGTAATAGGAGGTGAGAATCTCCAGGTAACATAGATGGACTGTGGGTAAGGTCTCTCTGGGGTGTAGTAACTTCCTGATGAAGCAGTTAGAACAGGTGGGTGTCTAAGCTGGTGCAGGGTGGGCTCCTCCTCAGGGACAGTGCCACAGGGTCAGCTGAGAGTGAGCGAGCCACCAAGAGAGAGCTGGAGCTGCCTCCCATCTTCACGTTCCCTGCCTCCTGTTCCCTCCGTTCCTCCCTCCTTGGCTTCCATTTTTCAGACTGGGTATTGCTGAAGTTCCTCCTGAGAATGCATCCCAAGAGAAGATGAGGATGTGGGGCTGCTCTAACCCAGGACTGGGGAGCTCTCTGCTCCCACTTGGGGTTCTCCTCCTGCATCTTTGACTCCTCAGCAGGCCTCAGCAGGGAGGCCCTGGAGTCCTAGGCCATGAGCAGTAGCAGAGAACAGACTGATTACCTGTGGAGCCCATGACAGCTGTGGGTCTTGGTGTCACTCAGAGGATCCTGAGAGGTTTCCTTACAGCTCACCGGGTGTCCAGGCTACAGGAGGAAATAACAACCTGTGGGACAGAATGGGGACAGCTCTGTGACCAGGGATCTGGTGACCCACAGTTCTCTCCATAGTGACTGCCAAGGGCAGAAAGAACTGAACCCAAAGCTTGTCTGCTCCCTCAAGTTCTCCTCCTCCCGTTATTCTTTTTAAAGATATAGTGGTGGGGGGCTGGTCCCCCAAGGGGTAGTAGCAGGTGACCCAAGGCCTGGGTGAGTCCCTGAGGCCTTGGTGGGTTGCCTTGGCAGATGGGAGACCGCAGTGGGTGAGAGACAGACAGATACCTCATGCAGAGAGATTGGTTATAGAGTTTATTTAGTGGGTTATGAAGGGAAAAGGAAATGAGGAAGGGGATAAGGGGGAAGAAGAAAGAGAGGCAGAGAGAGAGAGAGAGAGTTGGGGGAGAGAGATAGAGAGGAAGGGGAGAGAGAGCAGAAGTTACCTCTTCAGGAGAGAGAGCTCAGGGATGCAGGAGGCAGAGATCTGCTTGCCTCAGTTGAAGGCAATGAATGGTTGGGAGTGGGTGGGGCTTGCCTCTTAAAGGGACAGAGTACCCAGGTGACAGGACAGGCTAGTAAATCATAACATTCCCATCTCTTTTTTATAATGAAAAAGCGGGAAGTTAGGCACAACAGGTTAAAGAAATCAGGAGGGAGGATTCTCAAGACAGCTTCCTGCTTATTTGTGGGCATTGTCTTAAGGGGACCTGAGAAAACTGGGTGCTGGTCATATCCTGGGGTAGCTGGTCACTTTTCATCTGTCCAGGGTTTGTGGTATGGAACTCTCCTGTGTCTCTTGGATCTAGCAAGGTGTTAACAGAACAGAGGACAAAGTTAAATTTAGGAAGAAAAATTTTTCAGGATCAGGGAATTGAGAAGGGTGTGTATCTGACCTGTTTAAGGTGGATCCTTTAATTAAGCTCCCTGGAACTTACAAGAACTTTTTGGGTTTATGAAAACATAAATTTTAACCAGTAGCATATTTATACCACAATGACTGTGACAGATATTTTTGTATAATGAAAAGTATTTTTAAGACTATGAAAGGCAGCATGATAGAGAATTTTGTCCTAACATCTTCTGTATAACTTGCAGGTACACACCTTAACAACATTTATTTTGTATTTTACTGAAATTTTTTGGTGAGGTTGTCCTTTTAAATGACAAAACCTCTCAGCTGTCAAACTGCATCAGAGATCTTTGAGAAGGATAAAATTTTACTTGAGTTATCAATTAAAAAAGCAACAGAGAACTTACTTGGTTGGCACTAGAGCTACTCCTCGGAGTCCTTTATGGTCGCTGAGGGTCATATTTGCCTTTTGCTGTTTAGCGCAGGGCCTGCCAGGTTTAGAAGATCCTGTGAGTTAGAAATCTGTAGGAAGACAAGCCTACCTTGACCTGAGCAGCTAGGCTGTCAATTCCAGTGATTCTGTCCACTGTCTGGATACCTTCAGTTTAGATGAAAGGCAGTTTTGGTCAGCATTTGATAAAGCAAGTTGCAGGTGGACATTGTTCTGTGCCCGTCTGTCTTCTGTCTTCTTTGGGGGAAATAGCACGCTGCTAGGAGCCAACCTGTCTCTGTTATAAAAAGTCTTTTAAAAATTAAAGATTTAAATGCCATATTTCCCAGATCTCAGTTGAGGGCTGCTTATCAGGTATAAACTACAGTATAGAATCTGCCTGCCTGGAGAACTGAGTCTAAGCTTGAGTGCAATGGCTATCTAAATTTAGTTAGAAATGTGGTTGGCTGCGGGAGGGGGGGGGG